TCGTCTGCGGCGATGGGGCGCGCACATGCCCAGCCTGGCGATTCGCAGTCGAAGGGGCTGGTGAGTAGGGGTCTTTGGGGAGGATTCGGGTGAGCCTCGGAAAAGAGAACATGTTCACCACACAGTGGTCTTCGCGGAAGTCCTGTTGTTTCGTGGATGCAGTGGAGTTCTTGGGCGTGTCGTATCAAACTTTTAGGCTTGCAAATGCAATTAAAAAGGGTTTGAACAATTTCTTTGGACCCTTACCTACAAAGGGGTCCTCTCTGCCCCATCCAAAAGAAAAACACTACCAACTGACTGAAGGAATGCGGCTCAAAAACACCACCTACTAACCATTCTTGGCCATACTTCCTCGACCAGTTCTTCTACCCTTTGGCTAATAGGGCGGTTGGAGCCCCCGAGTTCTCCAAAACCCCTGACACATCCCTCCTACTTGTTTGAGCCGAACCCAGAAGACCTTGTAGCTTGTGGGCTGTTTGAGGTACAAGCCCTGACAGCTGAAACCACCAGCTGTCCAAAATATGCCCACATCTAGATGGTGAAAGGATGTGAACGGTTCCCTCCATTGCTTCCCTACATCGTTCCCCTTCACTTCGAAGCGAAGGTGAAGGCGACGCTGGGCTCCCCCAGCTCCAGGCACTGCCTTGGTGTGTCCCAAAGGTCCGAGACATAAGCATGCCCTTTGTTCCTAGTTCGTAGCGTCCTTGTTACTAGTAGTAAGGCCAGGAGCCCCGAGTAAGTCGCGTCCTTGCGGTGTATGATTTTTCGGGAGCGAGATCCCAGGTCCAGGTCCTATGGGATCAGGCGACCTGAACTCGGTGGAGACCGTCGAGGTTCTCAGTCATATGTTTAGAATATCAAAGACACACGAGCTACTGGAAAACAGTTGTCTCATTTCTCTGGAAAACGACCTTACAACCAGGATCCCACATTGGTGACTAGTCCCTTGGGGCAGCTGGACGCCCGTTTGACCCAAAAAAGATAGCACTCCAAAGGGCCCGGTAGGGAATGAGGGAATGAGCCCCCAATAGAGATTTTTTGGATCCATTCCCTCATTCCCTACTAAGCACCAGTCAGTGACTCCAAGCGTACCTGGGGTCTGTGACCGTCTCTGACCGTCTGTGACCTGGGATTGTCAGATGGTCAGCATTTGTGCAAAGTGATCATGGTGGGAAAAGAAGGCCAGCAGCACTTTAGATGCAACCAGGCAAAACGATGCGGAGAGATGCAGTATATGTGAGGTTTGTATGAGAATGAGGTACAGTATATGTGAGGTTTGTATGAGGTTGAGGGCCCTGCACTTGGAGCAGCTCCAGATTAATTAACCATGTGCTGGGCATCCCGCTTGCTCGCGGCTGGTCGCCTGCGCATCCCATGACTGCCCGACCGTCGTGCGACTTGAACTCGCCATGGTTCGGAATGCGGAGATGCGGAGATCCGAGCGAAATCCACCGACGTTGAGCGTTGTGTTGGGCAAATTGGATCTCAACAAAAAAGGGGTGTTGGGCAGGTGATCCACTGATCTTTGTCAGGTCAACCACGATGCTTGGATTCACGATGCGTTTTTATCGCACAGGATTGACCCGCACATACCCGCACGGTTGACCGGATCCTTTTCGGCGATGGTGTTGTTTCAACTGTGTTCCCTTTTGTTCAGCATCTAAGGACCTTCCAGTCTCCAGTGTTCACTGAGAAAAGGACGTCGATGGACCTCCAGTGTTCGTTCCCTCCATGGCCAGACGGTTCGCCACCAACGACGGTGGCGAAGCCAACTTCCAGTCTACGACAAGACAGTGTGTTGGGTGCATCCTAATCCCTGTAACAGTGGACGATGATGGTTCGTAAATGGCCTTTCTCTCAAACAGTTTGATGACTGTTACAGGTAATAAGACACCCCCAAACAGTATGTAACACCATGTAACACCAATATACACCAACCAAGTTATATCCAGCCATCCACCGGTCGATCCGGTTTGCATGACGGGTCCGGACGGCTCAGCCGAATTAAATGGGAGCTCCACCCAGGTTGTTGTGGGGTTTTGACTTCAACAGCCCGTGATGATTGAATCTGCAGTTCCTTTGATCTCTTCAAGCATTGAAGTGACACATCCTCAGGGAAAAACCTGACTCCCGAGCTGTTTCCCGGGAACATCCGGAGCATATAGCCTGTTTCCACCAGTTCGCTGTCGGGGAGACCAATCCCCCAAGACGCCACCGTGCCCGGGCGAGGGAAAGAGGATCTCTCAGGACGAGTCGATGGGTGCTTCCTCCAAACCACAGACCTTCAACGTCTAAGTCAGTGGAGAAAACATCTGAAAACATCCGAGATCAATTATTAACTGCCATAAATACGAATGCCAAGGCAGGTAGGTGTTTGGGTCTAAACGTCCCTCATCTCTTCTGACGAACACGCAGTCGCTCTAGGCCCAGCCTGCTCCAGGCCTCCCGCACTCGCTGCCTGGCGCAACCACCGCTGACCACGGTCCGGTCACTGCGGTCCGTGCTGCGGTCCCAGGGTGTTGTGGGGTACTCTGCGTCTCCTTGTTGGACCAATATGAACCTAGTTGGTATGTGGTATCAGATATCGAATCCATCTATAATCATCTGTTTTTTGGCATAAAGGTCATGGTCATATTGCTTTACTAGGGCCAAAAGAACTTGTTGTATTCACCACAAGGGTATGATGTCTATCATCCACCGTTTCAGCGTCACTCATTCTCTTCTCTTGATTTGTCCGCCGTTTGTCACTGTTCTATTAAGCTCATGCGACTCATGTTCCATATTCCTTACTGGGTATCACGACCCTCACACTCCACATCAGCTGGTCCGGAGGCTACTGAGGCTCTGACTTGGCCCAGCTTCCCCTGCAAGGACCAACAACGGAACGGCCGGCCGAGTGAGTGGCCTTCAGGCCACAGTGTTTTCTCTGGTTTTTGGACCCCGTGAGTGGAACCGGTGATGTCAATCACTGGGGCACCCCATGTAACACATCCAACACTGTCGGCTCGTGGAACCGCTGTGTTGGTCGGCTCGAGGCGAAGGAGCTCGGGTGATCGGTTGGACCCCAAACCAGTCCCAAAGCGGTCCGACTCGACTCGGCCGACTTCCCAAAACCGTCGTTGTGAGGGACGTCCAAAAACTCTTTGGGATCCTTCAGAACCCCTTCTGAAGCGATCTGTGAGGGACGTCCCGTCTATTGGTCGACGCACCAAAAGCAGACCGTTCAGGCGCCATTTGGAAAGTGAATTCACACCCTATCTGATCTATGCTGGTGAAGTTGGAGCCCTTGAGAAGGGTCTGTGGCTGTGATTGGTCGGGTGGCATACGCGTATCGTCGGTCGGGTGGTACTCTCCACTTACCAGCCCTGACAGGTTCATGTATAGCGACCAGCAATGACATGTATAGCAACATATAGCAACCCTGAAATGACAGCACGAGTCACCTTCTTCATCCTTCTTCTAACTGGAAGGCATTTGCTGACCCCCTAAACCTGCACTCAGCACCGCCCTGAAATATGGGCCGTACTCTTGGATGAGCTCTCCTTGCAAGTCTACATTGAATGCGCACCTTTGAAGGAAGATGAAGAGGGCTGTGTTCCCAGGTGGGAAGCCAACGTCACGTCCCCACTCGATGCATTCTCCTTCTTCCACTAGGAACGATGGATGTACGTCCACACAACCGGAAGACACATCCTTTTGGACATCCTTTTGGACCGGATCCGACCGTTCTCTTTGAAGATCCGAAACCGTTCTCGCGCGAGATCGACCGGTTCTCTTTCCGACAACAGCGACGAGCAAGACCTGGTACCACATGGGTGTGTGCTGAAACAAGGAGAGACCCCAAACCACCTATAGGAAAGTCCATATACTCAGTAGTAGGCTGAAGCATGCTGAACCAGCTGGGCAAAGCCATTCAATGGTCAGGCACAAGTAACTCACCAATCTCACCAAACTGTTCTCAAACCCGAGGCTAGCCTACCCCGCGATCGGTCTCCTCGACCAGTCGAACAAAACGACCCACCGCTCTCAACCGGTCTCGCCCACCGCTCTCGACGGCGACGCGCTGGGTCTCGTGCCTGCACGTCCCAAACCTGGCTTTGGAGCCTTTGGTGGTTCACATTCATAACCTGTCGGAGGTCACGGGAGAGTCCGCGGAAGGAACAAGCCAAGCCGGGTATGAAATTGGCTGCGGCCGGGGGCTTGGCACAGCGTTTGGGCCCTTAAGAAAAAGGGAGCTGATTGCAGAATATTACAGAACTTTAATATTTGATTAATTTGATTATTGATTAGTTTGATTATATAAATTAATTTGATTATGTTGTTTTCATTGCTTATTTTGGATTGTCCTCTTCATATGGGGCGTCGCTTTCTGTCCGACCTGGTCGGCCCGGAGTACGACACAAACGGGACACGACGGGGTCTCCGGTCGGGGTCTCCGGACGGTTCGCCCTTCAACCGCCATGACTTCAATTCATGTGGACAAAAGCTGCCCAAACAATGCTTGGAGATCATCATTATACTCATCTTTGAAGGTTCAACACAACTTGTCAACTTGTCCATCCTGGAGTAGAATGAAAGGCTCATTCCAGCAAAGCTAGAGCAATATTAATTAATGATAATTAATGTTTATAACTAACTTCCTCAATGAAAAGCTAGAAATCAGCGTATGCACCGTAGCACTTGCTCATGATGGAACAAAGAGCACAACCTGGAGACCCCAAACAACATGAACAGTACAATGCGTATAAATGCGTCAGAGATGTCCTGCCCTGAAAAATCGTCGACCAATCGCTTCTTTCTTCTCAGCGGTTTGACCTGCCGGGTTTGTCCTCGATGGCAGAAACGTGCAATTCCCCACGATGCGGATGCGCAAGTCCCAATGGAAGTGGAGCTTTGGGATGCTTTCACGTGGAAGTTGCCAGAACCCCCTAGTAATTACTCAGATGTACTCCACACCGCATTGGTCTGCCCCATCCGCCCCGTTCTGGTCGTCTTCGGCATCAATCGACGCCCGCGCGTTCCAGCTCCGTGCGCTCGGAGAGCTCTTCGAGGAGCACCCGCGCACGGCTCATGGCGCTGGCGTGGATCGCCTCCACTTGTTCAATGGCCTAAGACAACGGTTTGGAAGACGGGCTGAAAGGTTCAGGCACGGTTCATGAGGGCGGAAGACTTGATCTTTGCAGGCACATAAGCACATGCTGTCAAGATTACATAGTTTTATAGATTATTACAGACAGTATTATAGTACGTAACTGGTTGGTTCTATGTTCTTTAAAGCCCAGTGTGATGTGTGATGTATTCAAGAAAAAGAGAAGAAGAAACCAGGCGAGTGGATCCAGCCAAAAGTCTATCGCCACATGGCAAAGCCAACAAAAAGCAAAAGTGTCGCCCCAGTGGTCACAGCTGTCAGTTAACCGCCTGGCTCCCCGCTCCCACCCCACCTCATCCTCCACTCGTGCCGACACCACGCTGGACTCGCCCTCCGTTAGCGCGCCCGTGAGGCGATCGCAGTCGGCGGAGAGGGCGCGGAGCTGGCGCCGGAGTTCCGCCAGCTGCTGGGGCAAACGAGGCGCTAGGCGTGCGAACGAGGCCGCCTGGACGAAACAAAGGGAGGTGAGATGGGAGGTGAGAGCCAGGCGATGTGCCAATATGGGTTTTTCGCCGAACGGGTCAGGAAAGGGGGAGATGCACCTCCTTGTCAGAGCGATTCATGAAAGGTTGCTGGCGTAAGTTGTCTGCGTCAAACGGGTTCAATATGTTCCAAGATGTTCCAGCCCGGAAGACTCATATCAATTCCAATTTCTTCTGCTCTTAGGTTCTTTCTTTGGACAGTTCGTGGACAAGAAAATCTGCAAAACCAGCAACATGGTACCTAGCCACAACAAATGGTACCATGGTTGTTGGACATGGCTGCAACATGGTACCATGGCAGCATGCTGTTGGCCAGAATGCCAGGGTACCTAGCTGCACGGGCAACAGCATGTTGGAGGTATCAATCCCATGCACTCACTGTCAACCCCAGGAATCGTCCTGTGGGAGGTTTACCCCAGGAAGCGACCCCTAAAGGAGAAACAACCAAGAGCATCAACCATTGATAATGGATATGTCATAGTATCATATTATGACAGTAAGTTGTTATGCAGTGTATCTAAAGCAACTATAAAAGATCATGTGGCCCCACTGTTCCAATGAACCACCAGCAATGTATGAACTTGCCAACGTTGGGTCCGCCCTCGCCCAGATCCAAACACCGAACTGGCTTTCTACCGGTCATGGCACCATATGGCACCAGGAATATGTCCTTGGTAGGTCCACTACCCGGAAGGTCGGCTACGCTAGATGGTGGACCCAGGTTTTGACCCCTGACCCATCCCCATCTGGGAGTACGTATACATAGGGAACTTCACCACCAATGGGTTGTGGTCCATGTTCCTTCTTTCAGGCGCTCTTAGGTTGGAGGCTATCGCTAGTTGGAGGCGTTGTGGTCCATGTTCCTTCTTTCCGGCGCTCTTGAATGCTCTTGATAGCTGCCGCCGGAGAAATCTCCCTCTATGTTGAACAAACCCGCCGGCGGAGGAGTACCGTTTCGCCGACGACTCCCGAGTAAGGGTCCAGCGGAAAGTTCCACTGGTTTGAGTGGGGAAACCAATCAATCCCAACCAATCCCCCGCCAAAAAAGGTCTTGCAGGTTTCACTTCTTCTGGGTGGGTTCCGTCTTCGCTGTCCAAGAGACCTGCTCCATCTTCGGTGGATTGGCCGGGCCCAGCTCGATGACCGTGGGGTCCGAAGTCCGGCCGGCGCTCCAGGGAGCGCCCTGAAGCAGCTGGTCCACAGCGGCATTCAACTTGGTCATGAGATCCTGGTGAAAGGCATTGGGAGACACAGTGGAGACCATGACTTTTTCACCGAGGGAACCCCCAACGAAATGCGATCGGTGGAACAGGTTGGTGGCTTAGTAGTATACCAACTATATAAAGGCGATGCTTCATGCAGTGACCCTCCCGCCTCACAGCCTGCACACCAAACACCCGGCCACCTCCAGAACCCCCTGCCGTCTGGAAAGGATAGTGCAAAGTACCCAAAACCGACCGACCGTTCGTCAACGGGTCAGCCGGCCATGCAAACCCTATGCTTAGGCAGATCGGAAGAACTCCAGTGCCACGGTGCTTGCCATGCATGAGGGGGACCCCCGAAATATTGCACATCGCCCTCACCCTGTGGATGGCCTTACCACCAATCTGCAGACCCTCAGAAAGCTGGCCTCTAGGCTACCCTGAAGCAATATCCTCCTCCTCCTACTAGTAGCAAGAAGCTACGGGGCTCCTGGCGTCGCTACGAGTAAGGAGCGATCGGACGCTACGAGTAAGGGGCGACCCTGGCCTTTCTACAGTACTAGAAGCAATATCCTCCTCCCTCCAGCACCTCTCACCTTTCTGACCGTCCGATCGGTCTATACGACGAACGTAACTATAGGACGATGTATCGGAGGTGCCATAAGAACCACAAGAATAACAGGGTTTCACAGGATATCCTGGAGGTGTGCACCTTCACAGTAGTAGTAACAGGTTACTGTAAAAAGGTTTATCGGATGTTCAGGTCGTCATACAATGTTATATTACCATGTACTACCCACTCGCATGGGACAGTCAGTCAGCGCCGATGGTATGCCCACTCTAGTGACATACAGAGAAACATTCAGTTCAGCAGACTGCGTCACAGCTCACTCCTCTTTCCACCGTTCGCAAGGGGAGCGGCGATGCCATGAACTCTTATGAGTCATCAGAAGCACTCTTCCGATTTGCGTTGGTTCGTACTCCTAGGACCACTAGGGGGTGAACTCCTTTCACCGGCGTGAAGAGAACTCTCAACACCCGCTCTCTCGAGCCTACTGCTCCAGAGCTTACAGGAGGATCCTGCAGACTGAACCCAGCAGTCGAGACCTGGACCCCTCGGAGTTGGCCGCCGCCCACGGGGCAAGGGGTGACCACAACAGGACACCCGGGTGGGCCGCACCCACCGGTCGGACTCGATACTCGTTCCTGGCCGTAGCTTTCAGCTGGCCTTTCCCCCAAACAAATGAAAGCGCAGCGGAATGCGCAACAAAAACCTGTTTCTGGGTAGGGTGGGTGGGGAAAAGACAAATCTCCTGAAGCTGTTTTGGGTCACTTGAGCATACGTGGCAGCGGCGGCATGCATACATACAACCTGCCACATCTCAAGCGAGATCCACTGACATGAATGATTAAGTGTCCACCACACCTGCCCTACAAGCACAAGACACTACAACCTCCTGTACAGAACCAAAAACAACACCTCCTTACAGCGGATGAGTAGAGTACTCCTCCTGGTTTGTGAGTAGAACACCTCCTCTACTGGTTAAACAGTAGAACACCTGGTTTGAGAGGCGTCGATGCCGGAGGCAGGCCGGAGGCAGTCGAGGCACAGCGTCCAAGCTCACGGGTGGCAGATCCGTGTCATCCGGAGAGGGTGGATCCGCTGGAATCGGAGCCACCACCAAGTGACTCTCAACCTCTGCAGATGTGTCGACTGAGACAGACGTGGTCCATGTTTTACATCCATATGGCTGTGGGTCATGGCACCGGGGACCCTTTTCCGGTTGACCACGGGTTCCATGAACAGGTCATAGACGACTAATAGACTAAGGAGATCAACTTGCGAGGGTTTAACGTTTAGGGTTCTGGGTTTTGACCCGCAGCATATAATATATTGTATATTATATAATGTTTAATATATATATATATATTATACGTATTATATATTATATATATATATATATTTTAAATATTATATATATATTATATATATTATATATTGCACTCGTGTCTCATATCCTCGATCCAAAGTCCGAACCTGATTTGAGAGAAGAGATCTCATATGTGTTCTTTCAAGAGTGGACCCATGTCATCCCATCTAGTCTCGTGTCAGACATAGACATAGACCATGTATGACAATGTTCAAGAGGTATACGTAGTTGCTTACATCATCCAGGTCCAACACGATGGAGTCGGGAGTCGTGGGGTTAACCTGGGGGGGGGAGGCATCTGGCCGAAGCTGTGCGCCCTTTGGAGCATGATAGGACCCTTTTTGAGTCTTGCAACTCGTTGCATGGTTAGTATATACGCAAACATATGTTATCCTTTAATGGTTGAACCCCAATTCAGGGGACCGGAGGGTCACGACATACGACATGTCGCGACCATTGGTCAGCTCCGGCATGATGGTCAATTCAGGTCTTTTGTTCTTGAGGCTCATAGTAGACTCAGGTCTTTTCGGCTAAGACCATCCAAGAGGTCAACCAATGGACTACCCGGCCCAGACTACTGGATGCACTGGATCTGGCAGCAAACTACGGACGGTTTTTGCGGGTGCCCTCATTCGGGTTCGTTGATTGTAAGCTGTCAAAAACAATGGTTGATTGAATCCCAGGGTGTTGTCTGTAAGCTGTGCTTCTTTGTCTCGGCGCATTGGAGTTCTGATTGATCCTTGGTGTTCTAATTGTGTGTCATTGGACTGGCCAGGCTCTGGCTGATGCCCCGCGATAGCGTGGGTCAAGGAATAGCTACCCCAATCCTGTCGTGTGGGGAAAGGAACCCATCAATGCCACTGGGAGCTCAAAGTGTGACTTGGGTGTCACTGGGTCACTCAAATCATCTAAAATTCATTTGATCTCTCTTGACTCATTGCATACCGGTATACCCATAGCCCATCATGCCCATCAGTGCCTGCTTTGGGTTGGTCAACTTAGGCCCCGGTGGCTCTGGACTGCGCGCAGCGGGGCCGCGTGATGGACTGGCCGCTCGAGTGGATCCACTGGTGGCGCTCACGGCCACCGCCATGGGTGGTGGCTTCAGCTTCTCAGGTGGCTTCGCCTTCGGCTGTGGCCATGCCTGCACCTGGCGAGAAACTTTCAGCATCATCCAACAAACGAGTGCGGATGGGCGGATGTCGGAAAGAATCACTTATAATGCACACCTAGGTTGTATCGGCGTTCATATTTGTTTGCCACATTTATATATATATATATTTATAATATATATATATATACCAGTAGTTGGGGTTGAGGGGCACCGGATGTTTGAGCTATATGGCCACGGGCACATAGTGTGGAGAAGATTCACCTGAACCTGGACTACCCCGACTGAATCTCCAGACTGGACACCCTTTTCGGGATGATGGTCTGTGAACATACCCCAAAATCCGCCCCAAAATGCGACAACTATCGACCTGTTTGTTTGACCTTGTGGGATCCTAGCAAAAAAACATGCATGACTGGATTGGGGGGGATAGGCTGTTCATGGCTGTTCAATCGATGCTCACAGCTCCAGAGCCTCGGCTACATGGCACACGCCCAAGCTTTGCTCTATTTGACAGAGCTGCTCTCGGATCGTGTCGTCCGCCATGGCGTAAAAGGCAGTTGAAACGTGCGACTTGACGCTTCGTCTGTGCGTTGTGACTTGGCTGTAACTTTACTCTCCCCAAAAGTGGTCCAACTCTTCTTCAGCTGACTTAACAACCTAAGCTGTAGCGGACAGAACCCTCTTCTAGGCTGGTCCTGGCCAATCCTGGCTTTAGCTTCATGAATAAACACTCCATGGCGAGAGTTTTCTAGGCTTGGCTGGGACAATACAGCATACTTGGAGGCGTCCAGGCCCCCAAGGGATGCCCTCAGTGGATATGCGCCATGGAAGGATACATGTGTAGAGTCTCCAAATAGATAGTTGGAATGACTTTGGCCATCCATTGGGGTTCCAATCGAAGCCCATAAGTAAGTCATTGTATATAAGTCATTGCTGACTCTTTGGATGGTTCTGGGACCGGGATGCTTTATTGGGGTGGAGTGGGATGTGCTGCTTTCTGTTTAAGTTTGGGGTCATTGGACATTGGACAATTAGGTGACCCTCAGGCTTTTCTACATACCTGGATTCTATCAGCTTTGGGATCTTGGATCCTATCTGCTTGTTTCATTGAAGGCGTGTAAGGTGTGTATGTGTGTTTACTGGGCTTCTGTGTGTGTGTGTGTGTGTCAAAGGGACCTGACACCGTGCGCACATTCAGCACATGCAGCTCCCCAGTGATGCCTCAGCGCTGGGATCTTGAGCCACACAGCTGACCCAAAACGGAATGGGAACTACTCGGGAGTGGTGACTATGTGGTGACTGACTTTGGAATTATATTTCATCATAGTTCATCATATGTCATCCTTATGTGCATCATGATGCATCTCATCCCAATCAGCCGAGCTGTTTCCCCGTTAAAAACGCGCGGCCCACCAAATCTCTTCCCCCCAAAATCGTTGGGCAGGTGATCCTCTTCTGCAGGTGATCGGTGATTCTTCGGTTGATCTTCACTCACGAGCCGTGAAAAGCCCATCGAAACCCATCGATCCGGGTGATCCATCGACTTCGCTCCCCGTCAATCGAAGTGGCGGATAGGACGACTCAGCAGCTGAAGGACTTCGCCAAGAAACACAGAGTTCCATGGAGCGCATGGGGGTGCCGACGATGGCATCCCATCCACTCACTGGATCGGACGACTAAAGCCGCATGGGAACTGCATCGGACTAGCGTACAGTTCTTCCAGGTTTCATTCGCACAGTCTTCTCTTTAAAGAGTTTTTCAGCGCCATAGGGGAACCCCCGCCCATCCCCAGTCTTGGCCAGTTTGAGCAGTAACTTCGATTCGGGTGTCCGGGTGTCCGACAAAGCACCGCAACGAGCTCCCCACTACCGGGTAGTGACCCTTGGGTGTGTCGGCCTATGACTTTGTGGCAAAATATGGCAAAATGCCCACCTCATCAAGTCACAGTGCAGACCCTATCATCTTCGACCTACCATCTATCACCCCGGTCACGCGTCGTCGCCGCCGCGACCGGGAA